CCCCCCCCCCCCCCCCCCCCCCCCCCCCCCTGAGACATCACTGGACTCTGCCTCTACTACAAAGACATCTGAGACATTAGACAGAACAACAAGCCCAAAATTTCAGAAGATTTTCAACATTTAAGCATGGCCAACCTAAGCACTGAAATAAAATGCAAAGTTTTGCATTTAAAATCTTTATAGATTTTATATCTCAGATTTCTTTTTTAGAAGCCATTTCCTTCCCTGACAGTGGTGCTGGGAATATGCATTCAATGCTTAGAGGCATACAAATGTGTTAGGTGCCACAAAAGTACTACTGATTCAAAGCCAATTCCACATTATTCCCATAATTTTATGTCTTCATTTAGAAGTTGGTTTAAATGAATACCTCACTATTTACAAGGTTTTGCAACTGCACCATTATGCACATAGTGCCCAGATGACAGTCCAATCTGCTCTACAAAAAAGTCTGTACAATATTTCTTCTGCTTTTTAAGAAGTACTTTCTGTATTTTTAAATTTCATTTTAGCTTGGTTTATGACTTGTTTTCACACATTCCTCATGTATTCCGTTGTGAGGGCTCTTGGAGAAATCTGCAGGAAAGAGGTACTTGCAGTGTCTGTACAATGATGTGCAGAGGGACCCGAACTACAAAACATCTGGTTATACTGTACAGGCAGGGGAACCATGGAGGCAAGTTTGCCAGTAGCAGAATGTTAGTCTTGAATAAATTAGAAGGGAGAAGTCATTCACAGGCTCTTGTCTAGCAAAATTATATGAATATCAGATTAACATGGGACAAAAGCCCAGTGAGAATAGAGCCCTTATGATTCAAAATGCAGAAATATCAGAGGCAACATGTCACAGAAATAAGGAACAGCAAGTATAAGGATGTTACAATTTTTTTTTTTTGCTTTTTTTACTGCAGTCACAGAAGATGAAATGCCTTATCAAGGCATATGCTTTAAGGGACCAATTTTGCATCTAATGAAGTCAATGGAAAAAAACATCGAGTTCAATGATGCAACATAATGTCCTTAATGAAAAAAGTAATCTCATGTTAGGACCCACTTTTGAACCCATTTAAGTTGATGGAAATCCTTCTTTTGATTTCAAAAGTACCAGATTAAAATGCCAAGTATTCAAACACAAGCGCTCTGCTGGCGGGAGGGGCCGGGAGGAGCGGTCGGGAACGCCCCCCTCCAGTGACGCAAAATGGGACCGTGAAATCGTGGGGCTGACATCAGGCTGGATCTGGTGGAGCCTGTGGAAAAGGGAATACGGCGGGTGGATGACGCAGCGGGTGTACAGGGTTGTGATACGTAACAAGCCTCGTGCGGCTTTGATGTGGTGAGGCTGGCAGGCAGGCAGAGACAGTCGCAGCGTTTTCCCTTGGCACGATAGGACTGTCTGTCTCTGAGCCTGGAACTGTCAGAATTGGTCTTAATTCCTTGCTCTGTTCTTAAGCTTTCATCTTCCAAACTTCTTTTTTTGATCTCAAAGTGCCTTTTTTCCTCCAAAAGCTTGGCTGCGTTACCTGCTCTAGCAATCGGGCCTTGAGGGTGAAGAGTGCTTTCAGCAACTGTGTACAGTGTCAAGTGCTAAAGGGTCTTGATCTGTGCTGAGTTTTAGGTGTTACCAGGAAACGAATTCTGCATCGGATTATCCCCGATACGTGGCCGTTCCTTGCTTTCCAGAAGCGACTGTCTGAAACGTCCCTGCGCGCTGTGTCCCAGGGATGAGTTTCATCTCGCGCTCCCGCTAAGGGTTCCCGGGCCCGAACCCCCGGCTTCCCCGCTGTTCCAGTTAGAGCAGGGTGGGTGGTGATGGGGCTTCTCCCACCTGGGCCGGCCTCCTGCCAGGGCCGGGCTGGCCGGCGGAGCTCGTAGCCGTCTTGTCAGTGCCGTTGACCCCAGAGTCGGTTTTGCGTTCAGCACGCCAAGGAGGTCTGTTCACACAAAGTGCTTTGGTTGGTGATTTTTCCTCTTCTTGGCGTTATCCTATTTCATACAAAGCAGTTAAGCACTATTACAAACATATTTTTTTTTTCTCTTTTACTGTAATTCTTTGTTTTGTGAGGTATTTCTGCTTAATATTTTGGAAGGACAGTAAGTATATTGAAATCCCATCCTAGAATACCTCTGACGATAACTTGCAAGCAAATTTAAGTCATTGAACTTCAGAACGTTTCGAAGAGGGGTTCAGGAAGCACTGCGGGGACACGTCAGCGGTCCTGTGCCTTTCCTGCAGGACACGGATTCCTTTAAACAGAGCACTGTGATCCCAAAACACCTTGGAGGGGTTAACATGTTTTCTTCCCTTGCTACTCTTACAATGAGATTTGGGGGTGTGTAAATACTATTCAGCAACATTACTTGAAAGAAAACCGTGCCACTTCTGGGATAACACACGCCCTTTATTATTTCTCCTATTCCTTGTGCAGTGTAGGATTTTTGCCCCTTTTTATTTCTTTGTTTCTTTTTCCTTAGCTTATCTGTTTAATTTTTTGTCTTTTCGTCGTCCTGCTGGATCAGTTGTAAAGTGGGAAAAAAACTTAAATTTTTTCAGCTTGTCATAGGAAATTGGCGAGTGATAGATTTTACATCAAGTTTGAAAAATACAAAGCAGGTTTTACGATACACTTGTTATGTTCATAACCACGTTTCTGCAGGCAGCCTCCAGCTGCCACAGCTTCAGTGTTTTCCTCTGCTCGTCAGCATGTTCAGTCGGGAGCTCAGACTGCTGGGGAAGTCAGAGAGTTCTCCAGAAACTCATTCTTACCAGCAGCGATTAGGAGGGTGAAGGACCACGGCAGCTGTAATTATTGCCAAAAATATATTTTTTCCGTTCCCAATCACAAACGCAGGCTGAGATGCAAACGCTTGAGTCCAGTTTTTATCTTCACTCAGATGAGTTTTATTCTGCTCTGTGAACAGTACGGGAAGCTCGTGTATCGTTGCACCTTTAGATTTGCGCAGTTAGCATAAAAAAACCCTACCCTCTCCTCTCCCACATAACTTGTTTTTCCATTAAGGGCAGAAATTTCAGTACTTTTTGGGTATCTTCGAAGTATTTTGATTATTTGCAAAGAATGTACAAAGTTGC